GCCGCTAAGCGCCCCCCAGCGGCGGGCGCGCACGGCCTCGGGCGCCTTTCTGCGTCTGAGCCACAGGGACCGCTCGGCCTTCGGGGGCGGCAGCAGGAGAAGGGTGCGCGGCGGCTGGGCCCCTTCGCCCCCTGCCGATCGAGGGTCCGGGAGGAGCTAGTCGTGACCCTCTCCCTGGCCAGCCGTCTTTCCCGAACGCTCCCTGGGGTTCACGGGGAGTCAGTAGCTCCCACAGAGCAAACAGTACCTTGGGGTGACCGGCTGTTAGCAGAAATGCCGCCGTGCGCCAGACTTCCAGTCACTAACTTCTCTTCTGCATATTCAGACGGAAAAATGACTCCAAGAATCGGGTTCCCGTTTTGCTGCTTAAGCCGGAGGCTACAGATTCCGCGGCTGCTTCTCGTGTGTGTGACCTGCCACGCCACTGCCATCGGCGCCTTATGGCAACCTGGCCTGGAAGGAAATGCCCGCCTTTTGCAACTTCTCAGTAACAGGTCAAACCAGGAGCAGGGCTATTGTGAAGCAGAAGCTAGATTAGCTTCGTCTCTCGACTTTTGGACTCTCTCCTCTGAAAACCTCATAGGTATACGGTGGCACAGTTGAGCCGTCTTGCTCGCGTCTGGATGTGTGAGCGCTGTGTGTGGGTGTACTGAGCTGTGGGAGATTGTATCTAGCAATGTTGAACCTACTTGTAGCCAGCTCAGGGGATATGGAGAATGTGCAGGATTAGTACCCGAAATGGGTTAGAATAGTGATTTTCATCCGGTGTGCCACAAGAATTTTTAAAACATGCGATTCCTGACTACTTAGTCAGAAGCACTCACCTCTTTTCCCTTAGATTGTCAAATAAAAAAATAGTAACAGCCAACCAAATAGCCAAATCAAAATTATGTCTCATTTTTTGTCAGACCGGAAATATATATATATGACATATGCCGCAGAATGAGTTTAAGTGTGCTATGAGATGAAAAAGTTTGAAAATCTGGGTTAGAAAGACCTTTCCTTAATCCCATTGCCAGATCCTTTCTCATGGTCATGAGAGCGTATATTTATAACAGAAATCCATGATAGAATTAATCATTCAACACATGCATACAAACACACAGAGCCAGTGAGAGAAAGTGTAAGGTTTAGGGAAGAAACTTAGTCTGTCCTCAAAAAATTCACTCTGAGGAAATAGACCAGCCAAGAGGCAACTGTAATTCTCTGATATTTTCCCTTGTTCTGAACCAGGTTTTTTGCATCACAGTGTAAGTGTCCGTGTAGCTGGGCACATATTTATCTTGAAATATATTGTTTTTTACTGAATAAAATTATAGAATAAAGAAATTTCTCAATCCAGTTTTATGAGCCCCTCCCCCAATCGTGAAGAATATTATTTTTATTTTTTTATTTTTTATTTTTTAAAATATATTTTATTGATTTTTTACAGAGAGGAAGGGAGAGAGATAGAGAGTTAGAAACATCGATGAGAGAGAAACATCGATCAGCTGCCTCCTGCACACCCCCTACTGGGGATGTGCCCGCAACCCAGGTACATGCCCTTGACCGGAATCGAACCCGGGACCCTTCAGTCTGCAGGCCGACGCTCTATCCACTGAGCCAAACCGGTTTCGGCAAGAATATTATTTTTAAAAAAGGTCTCTGGTGCTTTACAAATGAAGGTTGTTAATACACACCTGTGGCTTACTAGTATCTTCATAAAGCTTTATATATTAAATATCCAACAGGTAGAATTTGCCAAAGTAAGTATAGCAATAAACACTTGTACTTGCAACAATTTTATTATTTAGATACCATCATTTGCCCTTCTTTACAGGAAACTAAGACAGAGGAATTGAGTGTCTTACACAAGCTCACATAGTTGACAGATAGAGCACAACACAATTCTGTCAGGTCATTTTTATTTAGAAATGGTTTCCCCAGATTAAAACAAAATACCTGGTTCTTAAAAAGATGTAATACGACAAGGCTAACTAGGGAGGGCAGATGAAATTCTTGAAGGCTTCTAACACCATAGTATAACTAAACTGATGAACAATAACCCACCAATAAAAGAAAACTAACCCACCAATAGGACATGTAAAATACCAACTAATAGTTCTTTTGACCTAATTGGGCCAAGCATGAGTCTAGGAAGTTAAAAACCTAGTCTGAGCTGTGCAAGTAACTGCCAAACAACTTCCCTTTGCATAAGCTCAAAATGACCTTTCTGACTGCACTTACACAAATGAAACAATCAGTACTGACTGATAAAATGGAATAAGTATAATTAAAGCATTTTCAAAGTTATTTCTATGTTGGGGACTTGGCTACACATTGAGACATTTCTTTCTGTGATGATGATACTGTTCAAAACATGGTAGGACCAGGTTTTACAGATTATATACATAATATTATATACTTATTAACCATGTCTTGGTTCATAGTACTGCATAAAAGCATATCATCCTGAGGATATAGGACATGCTCAATTAATTATCAAGGTAACTGTTAAAAGAACATTTATTGAGAGAAGAGATTTCAAACAGTGGCACAAAAAGGCTAGCAGCTTTAGGGGATTTCATATTCTTAGGCAAAATTGAATTCTAAAGAATTTTGGAATTACTGATTTCTCTGAAATGTTAAAAAAAAAGGTTAACATTGGAATTTTTGCTGGTATTTTTAGTCTATGACTGATTAGTTGGTTGAACTGTAACAAGGGTGAGGGTTGGGTCTGCTGAAGCAGTTAGCCTTTTTTGTTCCATGGCCAATGATCACAAGGTAGTCAGTGATCAGCTACCTTGCCAAAATGTGAATCAGTGCAAAATTGTAAGTACTAATTGAAATTATATACTGCCCATGCTCTACTAAAATGTCATTTATTTAACAATCTATTTCCACACAGAGGCTTTCCTAAAAGAGAAGAAAATATACTGTTGAGTTTTCCCATTGATTTTTAGAAAGAGTGGAAGGGAGGGAAGGAGAGAAAGAGATACATCAATCTGAGACATATCAATTGGTTACTTCCCGAAAGCGCCCTTCGGTGCGCGGGCTGACACCAACACAGCCCAGGACTATTAAATAATTTATGACATTGACATGTTGACAACATAACTTCTAATCAGTGGCATAGGCTTTTGTGTTCCTTTGTCTTATAGTTTTAGTAATACACCTACCTTTTCTATTTTTTAAATTGCTTTGGATTAGGGAACGATTAGAATTAAGATTTATAATTAAGTTTTTTAAGAATTTTACTTAAAAGTAAGTATGTTCAGTAGATCTAAAGCCTGTGCAAAGCTCTCTCCTCTACAGTTTTTTAAATAACGCATATGTGCTTTAGTGCCTGGACTTTATGAAGCATACTTTATCTCAAAGGCAATTTAAACTTCCAGCCTTGGGAACAGGTATGTTATCAAAAGTTTTGAATTTTCTGGTGGAATTGGAAGTGGTTTTGTACCTTTAGTAAAGTATCCACATATTTTAATTGATTTTTCTGAAAGGCAAAAAGAATGTGATTAAATGCCTAATATGTTTTGATCGGATGCCATTGAATTGCCTAATACTATAATTCTAATACTGTAATGATCTCACCTCCATTTTATTTATATATTTTTATTTGTAAATATTGCACATCCTATTGATTTACCATGAGTGAAAATCTTTGAAGACAGGTATATGTCTTGTTTTAAACTTTTTTTCGTCTCCTATCTTCTTGGACAGTTCCACATACTATTGTACTATATGAATTTTGGCTAGATAATAGTTGAAAATTATAAAATAACCTGTAAGTAATAAAGTATAAAGAAAATAGTGTTTTAAGTTGATTTTCTTGAAGACCATAGCCTTTTTAAGGAATATTAATATTGTAAATGCAACAAAAGAGAACATTAAGAAGGTTTTGTTTTGTTTTGTTTTATCAGCTGTGTTGCCAGTTGATCCTGTTAAAGAAAATTATGTTCGTAAAGTGAAAAACTGTGTTTTTTCCATTGCTTTCCCTACTCCTTTTAAATCAAGAGTACACCTTGTGGCAGTTTCAAAGGTTAGGTTTTATTTTTTCACAATACAAATACTTAACTCACTACAACTTTTGTGTAAAAATATATTAATATTTTTTCAGAGTTAAATTGTTAGTCTTTGTGTTTAAAATTCAGACACTTGGAGACTGTCATTCTTAGAAATCAGTTTTTGACACTTATTTCTAGAGCCTCGTACTCAGGTTCATCTTCAGATTATCTTACAAGGTACAGATAAATGAGTTAAGTTCTTAGAAATGGGTCCTAATAACAAATTCTAAATTGTTCTCTCATGATATAAATGAATTTGGGATAAAAATAGGACATTTACTTTTTCTAGTTTCTTTAAAAAATACGTGCTAGAAAAATATTATTTATACATCATAAGAAATATATAAAACTTCTAGAACTACAATAGAATAAATTTTCCCAAATAATCAGAACATATGGTACATCTCTTATGAAAAAATATTAATGTATTTTTGGAAGAGGTTTAGTCTTTTAATTTTCTTTCTTCCATTAAGTCTCTTTCCTTAAAAATTATTAAAGGATTTTGTAAGGAGTTTTTTGTTTTTTTCCATTCCTTAGGAAGTTCTAGAAGATATTTTGGACCTTGATTTATCCGTCTCAGAAACAGATGATTTTATCCAGCTTGTAAGTGGCAAAAAGATTGTATTTGGATCCATTCCATTGGCTCACAGATATGGTGGCCATCAGGTAAGAGTAGCGTCAGATGCATTGCTTTCCTTATGCAAACATAAACAGTTGGTGGAAATGTATTTTTGAAGAAGTTATTTTGCATTAATTTCTCTAATTGAGAAGGCTAATTCCAATGTAACCCTGATTTGGGGGGGAGGGGGGGGATGGCTAGCAATCTGAATCTGTGCCAGCAAGCCCAGTGTACAGTCTTGATAACCTATAATTAAGTCATTGCCTCTTTCCCAGAAACTGGTCCTGCAGAACCTGTTATATAAATGCTCACATTTCACAGAGGCCATAAACTGTGAACAGTGCACAGCCCTGGAGCGGGGGTTATTAGTGCTGGCGCCAGGCCAGACCATTAGATATGACCTGGAGACCCCCAACACCTGGGGCCTTCTTGCAAAAGCCCACGAAAAGGACCAGAAGCATAATCCATATTTGAGGGACAAGGACACCTGAAAAGATATCAAAGAGAAGCCCCCTGCATGTTACTTTGCTCAGACTTGGGAAGTTATTCCTCTGAGTCCACTGGTGTAAAATAAACAGTGTAACTCCTTTTTTCTAATGCATTGCTTGGTTTTTCTCTGGACTGCAACACACTAATAGCATATTAACAAAATGTTTCTAAAAGAATTGTCACCATAAGATATTTATAGATTAACTGCTGTGATTTCTTGCTGTGATAAAGCTAGAGCCTAAATTTCTTTCTTTTTTAATTAAATTTTATTCAGATTATTACAGTTGTTCCTCTCCCCCCCCCCCCCCCCGCCAAAAAACCCCTCCACCCCGGGAACCCGCCCCATTTTGGCCTTTAAACACCCCTACCATTTCAAAGGATTCCAATTTTCTCCCGGCGCTTGTAGGAGCCCATAAAAATCCAGGTTGTTGATGGCAAGAAAATGGGAATCCATAGCCAATATAAAAAAACAGAAAAAAAAATAATACCCATAGAGTATGTCGGAGGGGAAACTATATACTAAATTATCTCAGGATCCTTTCTAGTAAAAAAAATATTGTTATCCCTAAAGTATAAGC